AAAGCCCTCAAGAATGCCCAAGGATACTTCTGAGGCCCCCGAGAACCTGGGCCTCATACATGTGGCCTCCCTTCCTGAAAGCTTGAGAAAGCAGCTTGGCAGGGTCAGGGAGAAACAGGTATAAAGGTGCTACTTCAAAAAAATCTCGAGGGGATGGAAGCGGCACCCCCTCCTGAGAGCCCGGCACGAGAAGAAGAATGGCAGGAGAGGGCAGGCTGCCATGGTCATTTCTGGGTCTCTGCTCACTAAGACTGAGGACAGCAGTGGCTGCAGGGCCCATGACGCCTTCTCAGGGTTCTCTCCTCTGTCCCTGTGTCTGCCAGGGATAAACCTCTCCCGCACTGAAACCCATGCCATTGTTCTTATTTTGCCTGAAATGAAAGACTAGAGCCCCGTAATCTTCTGCCCCCTACACTGTAAAAGGAAGGGTTTCCCATTAGCCCATAGCACAAGGCGGGTACCCTGATGCTTCACGAGTGAAAAGGGAATGAATTCAACCTCTCTAGCTGCCCACTGTTGATTTTTAGCTAAATTTAAATATCCCATTTGTTTGTTTGCACACTCAAATATGTCATGTCAATTTTCCTTTTATCAACCTTTGATCTTTGTGTGCTAAAGAGATTGCTTTAAGCCACCTCTGTCCAGTGGGACTTTCTGCAATAATGAAAATGTCCTGTGTGCTGTTTGGCACAGTAGCCACTGATACCACGAGGTTATTGAGCACTCGAAAGGTGGCTAGTGTGACTGGGGAAATGAATTCTTCATTTTATTTGGTTGTAATTAATTTTAATTGGAATAGCAATATATCTGGCTAGTGGCAACTGCCCTGGCAAGGCAGAACTGTCTGGCTCGTTCTTTCAGTTCTCAACCTTAATGCGAACTGAAGATGTTATGTTCCCCTGGGCTGAATTGCCTCCTATGCCTCACTGAACGACTCTCTGATAGCCTCAACAAAGCGGCAGATTCCACTTCCGAGCGCTTGGTCTGAGCCTGCGCCCAGTCGTCTAGATGTGCCCCAAGAGATGGGGCAGGAAGCACATTGCCAGAAAGGAAGTCAGTGTACCCAATCACCTCAACTCCAGGGAGCGAAGCGGAGAGTGAGAAAGACACCCACACTGGGCGCTGGACACCAGCTGGGCTGCATTTATTTATACCACAGGGTGTTCCAGTTGTCTGCCCTGCAGCTGAGGAGCTATGTCTAAGGGAAGGGGACAGAAATCCGCTTTGTCTTTGTTCCCTGGCACTACCGCTGTTCTTCAAAGGGTACAAGACAACCCAGAGGACTGAGACCGCGGGGGTAGAAAGGACATATAGGAGAGGAAGCCAGCTCTGAGCAGGCAGAAGCCCTCTGGGTGTCATTGTAAAAAAGGAAACTGTGTCGCTTACAAGTGTGCATGCAAACAGATACAAATGACATCTGTAACACTGCACCTGGCCCCAAGCCAACTCACACTGCCCAGAGCATGGCGACAGAGGGACCTCTCAAGCCCAGCACTTTGGGACACGTCAGGTCTGGGGCTCTGTTCTCAGTGGCTGCAGAAGCTGGACTCGGGCCCCAAGGCTCCAGAAACCAGTGTCACCCCACCTGACACAGAGACCCAGAGCGCTCTGGGTTTATAATAGGGCTGCTAGAAATACCCGGTTCTGGGGGTAGAGAAGTCAGTTCTACTGACAGCACAGACGTGTGCTTTGTGAGGTGCACCTGGGGTCCCTCAACAACATGAACCCCCAGTTCTGCCACCTTCAGAGATGACCTTGCTATCTGGGCTCTACCCCTCCCTGCCAGCATATTCTGCTGCTCCATTACCCTATAGAAAACTCATCCTTCCACCTGTAGGAAGGGGACTACTGAATTAATCAGCTAAAGAGTAATTTCTTCGGGAAGACACCAGATACAAGACTTAGCCAGCATTCATCTTTTCCTTTCAAAGTTTCCTGTTCATGTCCCTCCCTTAGCTCCCTCACCCATCTTTACTATCTGTCCTCTTCTTAGTCACCTCAGGCTACTATGTTTTTCTCTTGTGCTACAACAGTCCTTTGGTAAATTACTCCAAAACTCTGATGCCTGAATAAATGAATACATTTCTCTAAATTACACACTATAGCTTCACTGGCATTTCAGAAAAAAACAAAATGCCCTAAAACTTCCTCTTTGATACATCAATTCTAAGTCCAGGAATTTATTTGAAGGAAATAATTAAGGATCTCCACAAGGGTCCAGTTCCAAAGAAGATTACCCTTGTTACTGTCTGTAATTGTGAACAACTGTAAACAACCTGCAAGTCCCCTAGGAAGGGCTAAATGTCCAGGGCCCAAGGATTGCTTGGTGGGAAGAGACCAATAATCAGTCACTAAGTCATCGACCAACCTCAGAAGTGAATGGTAAGGTAGATCCAGATTTCAAACAACCTGAATCCGATAAATTTAAATGTGACTTCTTCAAGAAAATAACTAAGAGAGTTAATATAAAAATGCAATATCAAATGAGGCCCGGGTGCCTGTGCAAGTGAGAGGCTATAATTTCATGAACCCCATGATAAGTCTAGAGAAAAAAAGGGACAGGAGAAGAGGCCAAAACATCATCAGTAGAAAATGACAATCAAGGTCTAGTGTGAAGAACATTGGAGGAAAGATGAAAGAGAAAAGAACGGGAGGGAAATAAATGGGAGAAAGTGGCAAGAAAAGGAAGTAGATCAGCAAATGTTAAAATAAAATTCAAACAATGTAGGGGAGGAAAAGCTGCTCTAAAAGAAATCTCAGTGGCGTTGAGCTGGCACCTATGGGGACGCACACGCCAGTGGAACTCAGGAGCCGAAGCAGAGCCGAGCCTGGCTGCCCTGAGGTCCTGTCCCCAACCCCACCGGCACCAAGGCCACGCACTGGCTCCCGGGTCCACACCACTGAGCCTGGGTCAGCTGAAAAGGACCCTGCCCGCCCTTCCTCACGCGCACCTGCCAAATCAACTCACAACTTTTCCTTGTGCCTTTTTAAAACAGGCCGAACACTTTTCCCCTGAGAAACCCGCTCCTGACCAACCCCCTCACCCCACCCCGTTGTTCCCCAGCGAGGCAGCTTTGACCTGTGGCTCATCCACATCCAGGTAGCAGGGCCGGCACCTGTCCCTCCAGGGACTGCAGATCCCGCACAAGGCTGGAGCCCCGCCCCAGAGATCCCTTCTGGCTTTGACAGATGCTTTGTGCCAAGGTCACACGGTTCGGTTAGGGAGCCCACTGTGGGATTCTAGGGTACTTCGGGCTGCTTCTGCCCACGCTGCTTTCTCTACCGAGGCTAAGCCCCCTGTGGACTCAATGCGAAGGATGGAGAAAAGGTGTTCAGGCCCCTTTGCTTTCAAAGGGGAGTTTGGCAAGATCAGGAACAACCAGTCCTGCCTTAACTCAGCCACTTGGGTAGATTGGGGATGGGAGGCTGTGAGAGGTGGGGACAGGTGCAAGGAATTTCAGACTGCTTGTCTTGGAGGTGGTGCTCCTGAAGGGCATGACCGCCAAGAGACCGCTGGTCACAGAGTCCCCACTTCCCCCACGTTTGAAGACTCCCATCTACAAACCCATCCTTTTTTTTTTTAAATTTATTTATTTGTACATATAGAACTGGGGTACAGGCCAGAGGCTCAGGGGTGGCGAGAGGCTTCACCAGAGACAGAGTGGGGAGCAGAACAGGCAGATCGACGAAGTACACTGCTTAGGGGAGCAGCGGGCGGGTCAGGAGAGGTCTGCCACGCCATGTGGTCACCTCCGGGGCAGGCGGGAATCGAACTCATGTGGAAGCGGATTTAGATTCTCAGTGCTGTGCTTTAACCCGCTGCGCCACCAGGGAGGGCCCAAACCCACCCTTTTTCTGTCAACCTCTGTCCAGGTCAGCAAAAACTCCAAGCTGAGTGCACTGTGGCTGACGTGTGAGCCTCCCAGCTTGGGAGCCCTAGGGATGCTGGGGCTGGCAATCACACCAAGAACCAAGACCAGAGTAACTCCCAGCTAGGCCCCCCTGCACTGCTGGGGAACTACCCACAGCTTCGCTCCTAGAGAAGATGACCCTGGTGTGTTCCATTAACCAGCCTGTCCAGGGGGAGAGGCCAAGGAGAGGCCATTCTCCCCCAGGTGCTTCTCCTCTGGGGTTGGACCTCTAAGCAACAGGGCTTAAATAGGGGAGAACTCCAACCCCTTGGGACTTAGGGCATCGCTCAGGAAGCAACTGGCCTCCTTGACCTCCATAAAATCACCACCCTCTCCTAAAGTTTCTGGTGCTTGTCCCCAGATCGGACGACCCATATCAGATGATAATGCAGCTGCCCCCCAAATCGCCCATCAGCACCACACACTTTGGTCCCCTGACGGTCCCCAGACGCCTGGACCATGTTCCTGCATTCCAAGCCTCTCGGTTCTCTCACGCTGAGAGCCTTGTGAGGGAGGCGGGGCTTCTGGGCTCCAATGCGGTTCTTTGGGTCCCACACACTACACTCCAAGGAGCCCCAATACCCACTCCGCCCCCCCGCACCCCCAACACATAAACACACGCACATTCAGCCTACCCCTCGCCGGTCAAGTCTCCTTGGCGGCGGCCAAGCTGGGAGAGATTTGAAAGGGCTGAGGCGGGTGGGGTGTCACCAAAAGTTCCCCGACACTGAAGAGACCGCATCTCGAGTGCCCTGTCTCCTGGGACCCTCTGGCTATGGGGCCCAGCGGCGGCCCCCCGAGGCGCCAGGTCACTTTGCGGTGCGAGTTAGGGCGAGTCTGGTCGTCGGGGTGCTGGGGGGGACTCGAACTCACGCGGGGCTGGCACCCCGGGGGAGCGCCAGGCCCGGCCCCCTGGCCTCGGGGCGCCAAAGCCGGACGGCGGAGCGGCGCCCTCCCCTCTCCCCGCCTTCCCCCCGCGGCTGAGCTGCGCGCAGCGGACACATGTAAATCGTCCCCTCGGGACGGCGGCGTGGAAGAGGCCGGAAAGGCGGCGGGGCGCGGGCGCGGGGCGCGGGCGCGGGCACTCACCAGCGCGTGTTGTCGTGGAAGTGCTCCAGCACCGCGTAGCCGAAGAAGGAGCCGGCGGGGCCCTGGAAGCGCACGGGACGCTGCGG